GGGGGAGGGCGTGGGGGAGGGGCTGGGGCGCGGGGCCAGCAGGACGGGCGCGGGCAGGGGGCTTCTGGCGCCGCGGCAAGCGTCCTTGCAGTTTGTTCAGGCTGTCAGGCGGGGGGGCTTGGAATTGTTTGGCTGCACGCACGCGTGTCGCCGCGCATGTGTGCGCACCCCTTGGACGCTGCTCGTAGCTTCCGCTGCCCGGGCCTTCCCGCACGCCTGCCATGGTGCGGCGAGGTCCCCCGAGGGCAACCACAGACGCGCGCGCGTGCGCGCGCGCGCGCACTCACGCGCGCACACACACACACACACACACACAAGCACATACATATACCCACCCCTTTACAAACTTCTCCCCCTCTCCCAGGCCAAGGCCGGCAAGCTGCAGCCCGCCGAGTTCATGGGCGGCACCTTCACCATCAGCAACCTGGGCATGTATGGCGTCCGCCAGTTCGCGGCCATCGTCAACCCCCCACAGGCGGCCATCCTCGCGGTCGGGGCGAGCTCGCCCAAGGTGGTCAAGGCCGCCGACGGGGGGTACAAGGAGGTGCAGAGCATGCTGGTGACGCTGAGCTGCGACCACCGGGTCGTGGACGGCGCGGTCGGCGCGGAGTGGCTGCAGGCGTTCAAGGGGCTCGTCGAGGCGCCCCTCACGATGATGGTGTGAGGAAGGCGCGGCGCGGCGCGGCGCGGCGCGGCGCTGCGCGCGGGAGCTTCCTGAGGACGGCGTTGGCGGCGGGCGGCCGGCGCCGCCCGGCCGCGGCCCGGCTTTCGGCGCCGTCTGCCCGCCCGCCAGCGTTGTTTGGCGTTGGCTGCTCCGTGAAGTTGCTGTTGCGGCAGCTTGCTCTACACGGGAGCTAGTGTTGCTCTACACGGCAGCTTGCTCTGAGCCGCCGGCTTTTGTTTCCTTTCGGGCAATCAGGGGCCTTCGCCCCAGGTATGCGAGGGGCTCTGCGCCGCTCGGCGTTTGTTGGGGGCGTGACTGCAATGCTCTCGCAGTCCCTGCATTGAGCGGCGGCCCCAGCGCTGCACGTGTCTCCCACTCACATCCCCACCAACGGGCGCCGCAACGCACCGCAGCCGCGCGGCGGCGCGGCACCGCGGCCGCCCGTGCCGCCGTCTTTCGGCGGCTCGAGCGGGTCATTGTCGCCCCCCATCAGCTTGCCAGCCCTGCTGCTGCTGCTGCGCTGCGCGCAGTCTGCAGGGCCCGAGGGCCGCGCGCAGTCCGCGGCGGCCCCGGCTTGACGCTCTCTCCTTTCGTTGCCCCCTGTCGCCTGGTTTGCCGCCTTCCTCGCAGCTGCCTGCGCACACCCAGCTCTTGCATTCGCTGCGGGCGTGCCATTTCGTTTGTAAAAAGCTACAGCGATAACACGCATCCTGCTTACGACACCAAACAAGGCAAATGAAGGAAGCAAGAAAGCCCTTCCATGTTCCCCAGCCGAAGCAGCCAGCCGAAGCAGCAACAAACAATTGAAAAAATCTCGCTGGGTCGCGCGCCAGCAGCGGCAGACCAGCAGGCGCCCTCACACGTCCTCCCACTCCTCCTCCTCGTCCTCCTCCGCCGCGCCCGCCGTCAAGTCCTCCAGCGTCCCAACATCCAGATCCAGGTCGCGCGGCGCCGCCGGCGGCGGCTCCTCCACCGCCGCCTCCACCCGCTGCCGCTTCGCGGGCGGCGCGCCCCCCCCGCCGGCGCCCGCCGCCCCTCCCACTTCCACCGCCCCAAGCTCCGGCTTGACCAGCGGCGCACCATCCAGACCGAACTCCGGTTTGACAACCCCATTGACCAAGACCACGCCGCCCTTGCCGTCCCCGCCCGCCCCGCCGGCACCCGCGCCAGTGCCGTCGCCCGCGGCCCCCGCCGCTTGCTGCTGCTGCTGCTGCTGCCCTGGCCCGCCGGGGCCGTACTTGGATTGCAGCCACGGCACCGCCACCGGCTTGCCGGTCGCGGCGGCCGCGGCCCGCTGGGCAGCCAGCTGCGTCTGGAAGGCAATGTGGCGCGCTTTGTCCGCTTCACTGAGGGCGGGGTTGTCCTTGATGGCAGCGATAGCCGCGTCCAGGTC